ATTTTTTAGACTTCTAATCATTTTTAAAACTCTCTTTGCATTGCAAAATGTGGCCCATGAGGAGGTTTTTATATTTGTTTTGAAAAAGTATACTGCATATGCTTTTTTAAAACCTTATTCCAAAGTGGATTAAATAAATGTTTCACCTCGAAATTCTACATACAATACCCCATAATTACAAAACAGAAAAAGTTTGCTTGAGATTCTTGTAAATTTGTTAAAAATAAAAAACAATCCAGTTTCTTCTGCCTATCCAGGGCCAGGTCACAGGGGCAGCAGACTAAGCAAACAAGCCCAGATCAAACAAGCCCAGATCTCCCTCTCCGTGTCCACCTGCATTCCCAGGCCAGTTGAGAAATATAATCCTTCCACTGTGTTCTGGCTCTGCCCCGGGGCGTCCTCCTGGTGGGACATGGCTAGGACACCTCACCCAGGAGGCATCCTTGTCAGATGCCCAAAACCCTCTCAACTACTTGGGATGTGGAGGAGCAGCAGCTCCACTCTGAGCCCCTACCGGTTGTCCAAACCCCTCAACCTATTTCTAAGGGAGAGGCCAGCCAGCCTTCTGAGAAAGCGCCTTTCTGTTGCTTGTATCTGCGATCTCGTTCTTTTGGTCACTACCCAAAGCTCGTGACCATTGGTGATGGTAGGGATGTAGATTGACCGGTAAATTGAGAGCTTCACTTTTACGCTCAGCTCTCTCTTCACCACGATGGACAAGTACAGCATCTGCATCACTGCAGATGCTGTACCAATCTGTCTGTCAATCTCCTCCTCCCTTCTCCCCTCACTCATGAACAAGACCTAGATACTTAAACTCTTCCACTTGGGTCAGTAACTGGTCTCTGACCCAGAGTGGGCACTCCACTCCACTCAAGGACATTGACAGAGTGGTTGCGAAGCCACTCCTTTGTTATCTTGGCTGCTTGCTTAGGGTCAGTGTCATGTAGGAAGTTGAACAATCACCCTAGTTCAAGGTCCGGTCTGTGTGGCAGGTTATCATCAAGGATGTCTTTGTGCATTGCTGCATTTATCTTTCCCTCAACTCTGACTCATCTACCGCTTCCTGCTGGCGAAGAACATCCCACAAGATGATGCTTCCACCACCCCGCTTCACTGTAGGGAAAGTATTGGCCAATGGATGAGCTGTGCCTGGTTTCTTCCAGACATGACGCTTGGGATTCAGGTCAAAGAGTTCAATCTTTGTTTCAACCGACCAGAGAATGTTATTTCTCATGGTCTGAGAGTCCTTCAGCTGCCATTTGGCAAACCCCAGGTGTGCTCTTTCATCTCACTAGTTTACCATACAGGCCTGATTGGTGGA